AATTTTTCCGGTGCCACTCCTGGGTCCGCCAGGGAGCATGCCGGAGGGCCCCCCCGTGCCCCCTGAGCTTGGCAATCGGCTGCAGGGGGACCCCAGGTGACCCCCCAGACCCAGGAGGCACCAGTCGCTGAGCTGGGGAGGGGGGTCCCCCCACACACTCTGCGGCAGGCCCAGAAGATCCATCTGCCCCACCTCCATGCTCCCGTGAGAAACTCTATCCTCCCCACCATCTCAGTGTTCACGAGCCACCTGGTACCTTGAGGTATATAGAAAAAACATCTAAAGCTGTGTCTGTGTCCAAATCTCCATAATTTCCGAATCTCTCTGAATTGATTTGGAGGGTTCCAATTAGAGTTGGAGCAATTAAAGGGTCTCCTGATTTGATTTGGATTCAGAGATTCAGCCGCTGAATTGGGCCAAATCTCTGCCGAATTGAATCAGGGACTGAAGCTTCACACCGCCCTACTATCTATGCTTAAACATGTGCAAATAGGCCACACCTAGTCAGTAGGCTGAGCATTGGCTGGGCAGGTACGTGACTACGTACCCACCTCCATTCTGGATGGATACCTGTAAGTCATGAAAATGTGGCTGTACAGAAATCCATGATTAGAAGGTATTAGACAGAAGAGGAGGGCCTTCTCATGAGCTATAGAGGGAACAGAATAATGGTGATTAGTGCACTGGACTGGGAAGTCAAAGCAATGCAGATTCAAAGTGTCCCTTCATCTCCAGTTTCCCAAGCAAGTGCCTGGACCACTCAGCTATTGGGATGGAACTGGAAGAACATGCTTCTAACCACAGTCATTTTTCTGGAACTTATGCCCAGATGCATGCATATGTAATGTCCATACAGGGAGTGTATACACAATATGTTTACTATGGACCTGATTAGTTAGCTCCACAGTAAAGTCTCTGCATGTACATGTACGATCCTATTAGGCCTCAGTAAACTAATACATTTTGTCATAGGACAGTACTTGTAAATACAAGTACTGTCCTATGGCAGAGGTCTTTAATATGTAGCAACGCATGTGTAGATGCTGATGGGGCTGGCTGGGGCACAAAGGTGTTTCAGTGCAGGGGCTGCCAGCTGGAAGCACCCTTGCACCCAAGCCAGCCCCTCCGTAGCACATTGAGCCAGGTCAGA